TGACACCGGCACGATTAGCCTCACACTTTGGGTCGCATACGCCGAAACCGCGAAACCCGAGTGGCAAGGTCAGACCATTCTGGTTCACCAATGCGTCGTCGCCGAGTATCTCTACGTGAAGTACTTGGCCACTACGTATCGAACCACACTCGATATGGACCCCCAACACCCGAAGCTACTCGCCTCCGCCAATCGTTGCACCAACAAGGTCGTCTGCCTAGCACCAATTAAAATACATAATCCATATGATTTCATCGTTCCTACCAGCCCACTCCCTCGGACCCTAGTTGATTGGATCCTGAGCGTCTCAAATTTGGGGGATTCTTGAGCGGATTTTGAAGCGTACCCGTTCCAACGCTTCGAAAAGGGATGAACCGAGAGTTGGTTTTCAATGATGCGAGCGACGACAGAGCATCGGCCCAGAAAAGTCTGCCCACCGCAGCGAAGCGGAGGTTGCGAGGGCCGAGCCACCGTCTTTTACGTAAAAGGCTTTCCTGTAACTGTTGTCTAGATATCAACACTATGAAACGCAAGTTCGGGACGATATATCGAAGCTTTGATGTCAACATTATTGAAGTGAGAGGTACTTTTCGTAGGCCGCGAGGTACTCGCAGCACTTGTTCTTCAGCTCGGTTGCATTCTTGATCGTAGTGTACGAACATGGCAGGTCAATAAACGTCCTGGCAGTTCCGCGCTTCGATTGGATAAAGCCTACAGTTGCCAGGTCCTTCGTGTGCTTGGTACGTGCCTTTGTCAGAAGGATCTCTGCGCTGCTCACAGCGTCTTTAGCGCAGATAACTTGTTTCTCTGCGATGGCCATTTGCGCGTCCAGCACTTGGTTGCTGAGGGCGCGTTTTTTCTCGATCGTTGTTTTCGTTTCGGCGACACCGGACACGATGATGTTGACAAGACCGCGCCAAAAGCTCTCAAAGGCACTAATCTGTACCGCGTAGTTGTACTCGCTAGCGTAGTTGGCGCGCGCGACGTCAAAGTCATGTCGGACTTGAGGATCGAGGGTGGTCGTGACACCGGAAATTTTGTTGAGAGCGAGTTGGCTTTGTTGGAGCTTGGCGGTGGCTTCAGTCAAAACGGTCTCGCCTTTTTCAAGGACGGTCTTGAGGCACTTGTTGGCCGCAGCCGTATTGTTGACTTGCACTTGCTCGATGTACATTGAGAGCAAGGGCTCGGCAAGGTAGCACCAATTGGCAACGGCCGTTGTCGCATCCGTGTGCGCGCTCACGGCTTCTCGTGTGAACTTGATCATCGCGTGGAGAAGCTCTGCGGCAGGCGCTTCCGAGTCCTTGTACGTGCTGTACAGGGATTCCAACTGCTGCTGAAAGTCAAAGTCGACGCCGAGGGCTTTGGTGCAAAAGGTCATCGTGGTCGAGCACTTGGTCAGCGACACCGCCATGGTGGGACGTGTACAATGGCCAAAGAAATGAAATGTGAGGTGGGTGGATCAAGCGTGGCGATCGATGACCATCTGAACGTGTTGATATTTTAGTTGATAATTCTAACTATCGTTCGAACACTCATGCGTTGGTGTGCCAAGCATGGCACGTCTGAACGTGTTGATATTTTAGTTGATAATTTTAACAATCGTTCGAACACATGCGTGGATGTATCAAGCATGGTACATGTAGCTTGATATACTACAGTAATACTTGTGTTTGGATCGGCCTACATAATAGTGGGGTCAATTTGCAGGTAGGTTTCTTGTAGGAATATATGTATGAATCGAAAATTCGGAGCTTTTTGACGAATCAGAAGCCTAGAAATAATTGACGTCGACAAGCGGGCATTCCTGCAACTACATGTAACGTTAAAGCGAAATTGAACCCCACTTGTAGGAGTTGCTTCTGGGACGCGCCATCGCATGTTGTGATGCATCTCACTTTCAAATGATCCGAGCCAATCAATAAGCGTTGTAAAGCCGATCGACCGTCGTCGCGTCCGCTTTTGACGAACGAGGCCTCCGACAGCTCAAGTTGCTCAGACACCGACGACTCTGACTCCGAAACGGAGATGCCAGACGATGACCAGGCGTCAGCGTTTGGTAACCAGCCCCCCGCTGCGTCCACCGCTACTTCCGCGTCTACTGCAAGCAGCCCCTGTAGGGCTCTTCATGCAGAGAACACCCAAGGCAACGACTCGACGGGGAAACGGCGCACGTTCACTACCACGATGTCCAACAAGAAGCAAAAGAGCTCGAAGGGTGCACTTGCGTCTTTGAGCAGCTTGGTTGGAAACCCAGCGGCTGCCAAACAACGCCGCGCATAGGTCGACATGCGTCGAGTCGAGCTAGACGAGAGTCGATTCGATTTGGAGATGTCGAAGATGGCGATGGAAACATCGCTTCTCGAGGCCGACGAACGCCTCAAGAACATTGAGGTAGCGAAGCACCTCGCTTTGGCACGCAAGGAGCTTCTAGATGCGGGTTATCCGATCGAAGAGGTCGATCTCGTCCTTCCGGCTCCCGGGCATATCTAACGTGCAGACGACGAATGAAAGATCTCTTTTTGCTCCAGATGTTGCCTTTTGTTCCTACAAGCCAACTCTTTTTCCTCCATATAAGAGCTAGTTCTTTCATATACCCTCGGAGGTATATGAAAAACTGGCTCTTATATGTTGAAATCGTCGTAGTTCGACGATAAAAAGCCCCTGACGACTTGCATGAAAACTCGAAATTCACGGCCATTTTGGCCAATCATGTGGTGTTATTTTCGTACATTTTCACCGACGAGAACGAGCATATAAATTGAACCCCATTCATATATTGAAAACTATGGAACGTCGGCGCTACATATATGCTCAAGCGGCTGACGTAGGATGCCTTGCCTTGAACGCAGTGCACTGCGCAATGAGTGTTTCGCTCAACTTTTTTGCGCGAATGAGGTTGCTGTCTCGGATCTGGACGAACACGACCGACAAGCGGCGCGTCGTATCCATTTCGTGGACGCCAGTCTTGTCGTCCTCAATAACATTGGCTGCCGTGGTCAGAACCGCTTGTGTCATTTGGACCTTGCCTGCCACGTCGGCCAGTTTCGTGGAAATGACATCGAGGTGCTCTTGAATCGCGGGACCGAAGTCCGCTTCGGGGTTCTTCTTGGCCATGTAGATGCACGCGCCCGAGACGGCCACGACAGCGAGCACGAAACCCAAGGGGCCCAAGATAACAGTGGCAGACTCGGCCGCCGCCGCCACCGCCGCTGAAGACTCGCCAAGCAAGCCGAAAATAGCTTTTGTAGCAATATGGCCGGCACCACCGACGAGCGCACCTTTTGCCCCGGACGTGCCCATCTTCCAATGCATTTCCTCGGTACGCGCCTTGAGCTGCTTGTAGTACTCGGTCGACGGATCGAAATCGGCATTGATTTTGACGAGGAGCTCCCGAAGCTTCCCGTTCGCCGCGTTGACGTTTCGCGAGGCCACCGTGAGCTTCTCTTTCGCGGATGCAAGCAGCTCCTGGCCATCCATAAGACCCGCAAGGCATGTGGCGGCGTCTCCCGTATGTCCTGCTTCACGCGCCTGAATGTACGCGCCGAGTACGGGGATGACAAAGTCGCACCAGTTGTAGACCGAGCGCACTGCCGCCGCATGCGCGTCAGCAGCGTTGAGCATACTTGTTTTGATCGCACCGAGAAGCTCCGCGGCCTGGACGGAAAAATCGTTGCTGAAGTCGTCAAGGACCATTAGGGTCTCGTTGGTATCGTACGCGACGTCAAGGCTCTGCATCCACGTGTACACTGCGTAGAGCTCAGGGACAGTGACGCGAACCATGTGGACGGGGAAGGATGGGCGGTTGGCGAAGCTCCGGAAAAGGAAAAATGATGCGATTTATGAAAGCGCCCTGGCACCCAACTGGCAAAATTTGACTCGAAATGATCAAGTCGCAGGCCAAAGTTCAAATATGGGGAATGGATACGGGACACTTGCACGAATCAAGCTACACTTGTAATCGTTGGAAATTCAGGCTTTTGCCAACGCGCACTTTTGCCTGGATCGACTTCTGTTGGTCTTGCCGATAGGATTGCAATATCCAGGACGGCGTGCGTCTGCTTCTTCGCGGTCATGAGCCTCTCGAATGAAATCCGAAACCATGCGAGGTGGTCGACAAGCTGTTGAACGTAGCTACATTGTATCAAGTTCATGCAACTCGAGCTCATGCGACAGAGAGCACACACGTCGCATGTCATTGGATGTCATTGGACTTGGCATCGCTTTAAGTCTTCGCTGCACGGAATGCGCGAGGATCTCTACACTAATAGAGTGTTGTAGAATCCATAACGATGTTGCAGGCCTATGATTTTAGGCTGACCACTTACGACATGTGACTTGTGCAGCCGAGTAGCGACGTTGCGTTTATCACTTGGTACATTGATACATTGTACAAGCTGGTGTAGCAAAGTATCAAGCTGTACGGCACACAGCCGCCACGAGTGCAAATTTTCTGCGTATCGTCATTTTTCGATTTCTTTGGCCTCGCTGACCTCTCATGAGCCTCGCTACCCCGTCGACAGCAGTCGGGCTTACGTTTCGACTTCAAACCCTCACGGCCGCCATTGCCCCGGGGTACCAAGGCGGGTGCATCGTCGACTGGCTCCAAAGCTGTGATACGGATTTTTCCGGTGCGGCCATGCCACTTGTCGCGGAGATCCTCACCAAGTTGCTCGACGGCCACGACTGCTACAAGGACGCTACGCAGAGCGTCCTTGGATGGTGTATGCTCGTCGCAGAGGTGTTCCCGCTCTTCCTTGCGTCGACGACAAGCGAAACCCGAACCATCTGCCTTCAGAATCTCAACGACGGCGACGATCTACTCCGCGCGGCCCTCAACAACCTTGAGGACTGTGCGACCCACTTCAATGGCGCCATTGGCAAGCTTACAGAGCTCGAGAAGCAACTCGGCGCGGACTTTCGCCGCGACAGCGCGTTCCACAAGAAACTCGTCGACAAGGCAGTTGACAAATGGTATACCGCGAGTCACACGGCGGGTGCTAGCATCGGCGCTTTGCTTTGTATTCCGCTCGGTCTCTTTGGCCTTGTGCTTGCGATCCCTGCTGCCCTTCTTGCGGGCGAGGCCTCGGAAGCCGTTATCCGAGCGTCGTGGCGCGAAGAGGTCAGCCAGCAATTGAAGACGGTCAGCACCAAGTTTGAGACGTTGACTGCGCACGTGACCTCGACAAAAACTGCAATTGACGAAGCGTTGCAAACGCAGAGGCGCGAGGCCGAGTCAATCACGTTGCTCAACGCCGGTCGATCGGTGAATGCGACCTTTGTGGGTCTGGCCAACATGCCGCTTCGATCGATTCGTCCCGAGGCCGAGATTCTTGTGGACATGTGCAATGCGTACGTCGAAGCGCATCAAGAGCCGACAACGACGTCAGACGATAAATAGAAGAACGCACACTGTTGCGATGCATGGTTACACTACTTGTAACAGAAATAGTCAAATTGCGCTCGAGCCATGGAGGTTGTGGCTTCTCTTCTTGCGCCCTTGGCTGCTACGACAAGTTCCATCACGACGAGGGCTCGCAAGCAGCGTTGGTCCACCATCTATGTCGTCGTCCGCCCCCGACGTCAGGAGCAGGCACGGCACTCCGAGCAAGACGCCGATCGGACACGCTTGGGATTACAAGCTAGACCAATGTACATCCGACAGTTTTGCGCATCGTCGATGAGCACGGAAAACAAAGCGCTTCAATCGTCTTGGACTCGATACTTAGACCAAGGCCCTAAACTTTACACGGTGTGTCGCCATATTCCGCCCATGCGTATTCGCGATGATGGTGGCTTCGATATGTGCTGTGGGTGAAAGGTCCGTGATACACCCACCACCTTGATACACATTAAGTCTATTGCTTTGTTCGGACCAAGTGTCAAGTCGACGCTCACTCGTCGCCTACGGAGCCGACCCCAACGATCCCGCACGTTGCCGTTGCAAACTTAGTACCGGTACTTTCAATAGTACGTCGACTTGTCACAAAATTGTCAAATGGCACTTGATACTTTGTTGTTGAAGTGGGTCGTCAATTAAAATAGATAAAACGTCGCTAAATAAAATCGTCGGAGTTCTT